AGCGGCTGCCTTTTGTGTAGTTTGCAATATTTGCCTTTATTTATCTGAAAAAGTCTCATGTTCCTTAAGTACATCTACCCTGTTGAACTTATTATGGGAAATAAATATTTAAATAAAAACAAGCTGCTGATTATTTCACATTTTACTTGTGAGCAACGGCACATTTAAATCTTACAAATATAGTTATTTGGCTTATATCGTGATACATATCGTTATCGCCTGAAATGAAAAAAACATATCGTGATATGAAAAAATCTCATATCGCCCAGCTCTAGCTGAGGCTGAAGACGTCACCTGATGATGACGAAACGTTTCTCTGGAAACGTCCAGATGAACAGAATCAGCTCTTTGGGTCTTCCTTACCTGGTGATTGAGCATCAAAACCTCTGCAGGAAGTGCATACTATGAGTGTCAGTAACATCACACAGTGAAGTGACCTCTGCTGTTTGACCTTGTCCTGCAGGTCAGAGTGGGCCTGTTCATTATGTCAGAACCTGTCAGACCCGTCGGACCCCTACAGCACCGAGAGACTTCAGCGCACCAGCCTCAGTCTGCAGAGCCTCAGGGTCAGCGTCGGCTCACAAACGCTTACTCATGAACCTCACTTCACAACGTGACTCTTGTCTCCATCGGTTTGTGGTAGATTTTCTTCTAAAGTTTTGTGTGTTGTGTCTGTTTTTGTTTTTCAGAGGTGCGAGAGTCTCGTTCTGCATCTGAAGGTTGAAGTCTGCAGTCGGTGCTCTCAGGTCAGTCTGAACAAAGCTCCAGTCAGAGTAGAAGCTTTTAGCAGCTAACAAGTTTATACACTTCATAAAAGGTGCATGAATGAAAATAAACCTGGGAAACGCAAAATAAAGGGTCTCCTGTAGCTGTCGTTGAACCAGCAGGTGGCGCTCCTGCAGCCTGATCAGGTCACAGCGATGAAGACTTTCTGTTTTCTTCTCTTCAGTTTGGCGGTTTGTCTCGGCTGAAGTCGATATCGGACCGCCTGACCCTCCGCCGGCCTCCTCCGTATCAAACGGCCGCGGAGCTCGTCTCTGACATGTGGACTCTGTTTAAAGACGCCTCTCAGGTACGCACGGAGCAGGTGGAGTCAAACACGGAGCCGATGAACTGTTTGTCTCTCTTTAATGAATTAATGAGACGGTGTTAAACTGTACTTTTTGATACTATCATGAAATTAAAATGCCGGATGGATGAAACACATTAATTATTCCATTAATAATAATAACAATAATAACAATAATAATAATAATAATCCAGGTCTCTAAAGGGCTGTTTGTGCTTGTGAGCACAGCTGCTCAGTTATAAGGACACAAAGTAAAAAATGGCTCGCCTTCATAACGTCCAACTTTTTTATGCAGGTATTTGTTTTAAAACTGTACCTTAAACTTTCACCACTAGGAGGCAGAGTTTTACCATGAAGCCTGAGTGGCGTTGCCTCGGTGATAAGAGCAGCAGAGTTGTGCTGTGGATGTGAGAGTCTGTGGTCCTGATCAGCTGTTCCCCGCCCCTCACCCCGCGGCACCTGTCCCTGAAACGTCAAAGAAACCTGAAGGATACGGCGCCTTTTTAGCGGCTGCGAAAGCCGTGCTTCCTGTTAACCTGCTGCTACTGTTAGTTCCCCGAGTTTAAAGAGAGAGCAGGAAAATGACCTGGAATCAGTCTTACCTGTTCAGGTGATACCTGTCCGCTAGTGTCGGCTAATTATTCTCGACCTCATCGAGCACTGCTGTATGTGAGTGTGGCGTCGATGCGCCGGCTTCCTTTCTCGTCCTCACAGGTGTTTGACGTCTGAAGATGTTGGACGTATAATTTGAAAATAAATAATCAGAATTTAGGGCTGATTTCACCGCCTGCAGCCATGTTTGCCGTGCAGCTGACGCGCGAGCTTTGGCTTCTTTCAGTGACGCCGAGCTGCCGACACTCGGCTTCAGCGCAGACTCGCTGAGATAACTGAGCAGCAGGACGAGCCGTCACTCTGCCTTCTCTCTGCTGTTTTCAGGACGACGAGTTGCAGAAACTGCGGGAAAGTTTCCGGATGAAGTTGGTGGAAACTCTGAGTTCGGAGCTCCATCCTTCACTCCTCACCGCACCGAACTCAAACCCGCAAACTGCCGCTGGACACGCAAGCAGATCGCAGCGTGGCCGAGAAGACGAGAGCTTAAAGTTGGAAAAAGAAGAAGGGTTAATACCGGAATCCAAACTCGAGGACTTCAGGAAGAGACTGAGAGACTTTCTGGATCTAAAGGGAAGTCCTGGTCCAAAGAGGAGAAAGAGAGACGATGACTGAGGAGGTTTTAAATGACCAAGAAATCTCTGCACAGCTGCTTTTTTCTTTTTTAACCCATGAATGTACGAGTGACCTCAGCAATAGTTCGTATATGACCTTTACACATAAAATGAAGGAGAAACTGCCCGTCGCAGTTTCCTGTAGCAAGCGGCCGTCTTCAGATGTCATAAGTTTGTGTGAAAAGCCCAGCGAGACTGAACGTAGCGCGATGGAAACGACGCGACTAACCGTGCGTGTGACCGGAAACACGCTCGTCTGCTCCGCCTTCATCGGTTTGTTTCCTCGCTGCTTTTAAAAACCAAAATCAGAGTTTCAGCGGCTCAAAGAAAATAAAAACCTGTCCTGATGCAGATTTGATCGGTGGAAGCTCGGCTCTGTGCGCTCGGTGCTGGAGCTCCTCCAGGTGTGCAGGGGGGGCTCCTCCAGGTGTGCAGGGGGGGCTCCTCCAGGTGTGCTGCACTCTGATGTACAGGAAGCATCTGAGCTCACAGCAGGCAGCTGTAGACAGTTACAGCACGAGTAACTTTAAAAAGCATTTTTCAGAAACACCATGTGCCTTAATTTAAAGCCGCCCACAGAACCTGGAAACCCAGCCGCTGATGATGAAGTCAGTTTCTGAGTGGCCGCCGCGTGTAACCCCACAGGAGTATTAACCCCGTCGTCTCTCACTGACAGCGTGAAAAACCGCTAAAGGTTTCCTCTGCGGTGGGCGGGACGCGTCCTCGCCAGCGCTTCTGTATTTCTGCACTCAGTTCGCTGCATCTGCGAGTCGTAATCGATGATTTTGGTCTGAACTTTAAACAATATTTTTGGTATGAAAAAGTTCATTTTTCTGGGAGTGGTCACATCTTAGAGGCAATAATTTTTCAGTATTTCACATTTTTCTTCAAAAGGGGATGAAATGATGGCGGCATCGATCGGCCCAGTGTCCGTGCTGTGAGCGCTCTGACCTTATAAACATTAAACGGGGGATTTCGTCTGAGACTTTGTGCCGGGCTCGATTTTACCGCCTTATGTAAAGTGAGTGTGACACGTTCATTCAGACAGGAAGCTGTTACTTTTGTAATTACAGCGAGTCCTCGGTGGCAGTATTGTTACCTTTACTACTGTCAGATTTCATCTCTTTGGCAGCTGATCAGCCATAACGTGTTCTTATTTTTGGTATTTCCCCTGAAAGCTGAGGCGCGCACGCCTGCAGCGAGTAGCGTGACATGTTTACAGGTTAGTCCGAGTTTTCTCGTTTGATATTTCATGTTTTACACGAACGTTGTTTTTTCTCTTACGATGAAATACGCAGAGAATTTACTTTGTTTAACATATATAAAAATATAACATTAAAATAAACGTTCTTTTCCATAACTGACTGGCTTTGTATCTGAGATGAGTCTCGTGTATTTACTGTGAGCATTCAGTCGACCTGTGATTTATTGTAACAGGCGACTCTGTATTTGATCTTTGTCTTCAGTATTTGACCCACATCCTGCTGAGGTCTCAGCTGTTGTTTATTCTTTCATTCCAGCTTTATGGCGCGATTTGTTTTCTAATCACTTCATGTCGCTGTCTTCTCTTTCTTTAATAATTATATGTCAAAGCTGTCGTGTCCAAACGGATCCCAGTCACATGTGTGTGGAACCAATGAGCCGGTTCATGTTTCCCCTGGTGTTGGTTGGGGAACGCTGACTCGTTTCTTTGTGTGCGCAGTTCGATGTCATGCACATACCTGTGTTCAAACTTTATTGTGAAAGTCTGTGTTTATGTTCCCTTTTTTTAGGAATTTGAAATAATTTTGCTTTGATGACTCATCGAAAAAATAAAAATCTACTGAAAAAGAAAAACGGGAATCAGAACAAGAATTCAAATCTAAACGTGGATTCTTCTTCCGTTGTACATTTTATCAAAGAAAATGTTGGGCTGTGTTTTAAAAAATACCATTAAATATTTTTTTCACGTGACTGTAAATCACATCTTTACTCGGAACACAAATTCCTTTGTGCTTGCATCAGGAGGCCGTGAAAGTCTGCCAAATGCACCATCCGCTGTGGAAACCCCGTGAGACTTTGATCGTTGTCTTATTGAAATTTCTCGGTAGGCTGAAAATCATGCGGTGGGACAAACCGCGTTTAAACCAAATGATTAAGTGTAAACTTTTAGGTACACGAGGACTTCGAGAGTCTTAGAGTCGACGATAAAAAGCTCACATATTTGTCTGCATGATTTATACACCAAATATGGCCCCGAGGGATCCAGTAATGAATAAAGATCAGATAACTTGGTCTAAATTTGTTGGAAATTAATCCTCCTTTGATATCAAATTAAATGATTTGTTGAGGAAAATAATAATCAGTTAAGTTCTGCGGCTGCTGAAGAAAAACAGGAAGAATAAGGTTGTTCAGCTGGGAGCCAGCAGGTGGAGCCAAAGAGGCGCAGAAACGAAGCTCGTCGTTTAATCGACGCGCTCTGCAGCACATAGTCTTTCCCCACTGAGACCAACCCAGCTGCACAAATCTGCAGATTTTCACACGATGCAAAAATGTCCCAATAACTGAAAAATGAGACAGAGACACGCCCTCAATGTCCCCTCACTTCAAAACAGGTCAGATGGTATAAAAGCAGAAAGGTTGTAAACAACAGAGAAAGGTCATTATATCACCACCACCCCACTCCCACCCCACCCCCACCATCAGAGTGGTGCAAAAATGTCCTAAAATGTTCCCACAATTAGTGAAAGCCCTGAAATACCCTCAAAAAGACACCGACACAAGCACGTACACAAAGATGCTCATATCTGCCTCCATATCTGCCTCGTTACTGCTGTAATAAGACTCCAGATAAGACCCTCCACCAAGCACGGGCTGCAGTCAGACTGGGCTGTGACTCACAGCTCCGAAGCCCCGCCCACACGGGGTACATAAGCCGGTGATCTGAAGCGGCGCCTCCAGATCTTTGGCATCTATTGTCAGCAAACCTGAACTGATTCCTGATGGTGGTACAGGAGAAAAGTCGTATGGAGGCGATGGAGGGAAACCAGCAGAGGGTGGAGGTGAACATCCTGCTGCTCGGAGCTCACAATGTCGGCAAGTCCGGTGAGTAAAGATCAAACTGGCTCATTTCCAGAATATTTCACCTTTGCTTACAGAACGTTTTCATGTTGATCCGTTAGAAATATCCTCCTCTTTATGTTTCTCTTCTCGTATTTTCACTTCATTTCTAGTTTTCTAGCTCAAATGTTGCTCAGAGGAAGCAGCTCTGTAGTCAACTATGAACATATTTCAATGTTCTGATTTCTGTTTTTACTTTGCAGCGTTTTCTTTGATCTAATGATCTTTTCTCTCTGTGCAGCTCTCACCGTCAGATTTCTGACCAGGAGATTCATCAGCGAGTACGGCGACATCGGTGAGAGCTCTGTCTGCTCAGTCAGAGAGAACGTCTGTGTTCACATGCTCCGACTGTTCGAAATCATTATTCAGTGTCAGTACTATGAATGTTTATTCACGCTTCCCCTTTATCTCGCGTTCTTTCAGAGTCAGTTTACAGCCGAGTTGACAGAATTGATGGGCAGGAGATCTGCTTCAACATCTGGGACTCTCAGTATGCACAGGTAGGTCTCCACCTGGCTGCACCTCGCACACACACAGGTGTATTTCCAGCTCTTTAAAATGTGATCCTTTATATTAAAACACCTTTTTGGTTCCCAAATTGTGGCTGAGCAAACAGATTTGAAAAATATAATAAAGGTCAGAGCTAAAGATCGAGCGGGTACCACACATCAGTATCCATGGTGATTAAAGGGCATCTTAAATCTGAGATAAACATGATTAATAAAATAAACATGGGGAAAGTGTTTGCTAAGGTCATAGGTCAAGTGTCTCCAATAGAGCTCTATACCAAGGAACGTCAGAAGAGTCGCCCCCTGATGGTCAATAGACAGAATGCAGACTGAGGACCAATCGTTTATATCGAGCGTGTGGTTCGTTTAGTTCGACAGATTAGTTCGGGGAACCTTTTTGCATAAATTTGCATATTAACACCATAAATAATGATGTGAGCATGAATTTTAGAGTTTGTGCGTTTGCTTTCTCCACAGCCCGGAGAGAAGAGTTCCTCCGTCAGCGACAAACAGCTGCAGTGGGCTGACGGGATGATCCTCGTCTACAACATGTGTGATCGCAGCAGCTTCGACGTTGTCCAGCAGCAGCTGCAGCAGATACGTCGAAGCAGGAAGCCGTCCTCTGTCCCCATCATCATCGTGGCAAACAAACGCGACCTGCAGCGGCACCGCAGCGTCTCTGGCGAGGAGGGACGGTTGCTCGCCCTGTCCCAACAGTGTGGCTTCTTCGAGGTGTCCGCGGCGGAGACGTACCACGGCGTCCTGCTGGTGTTTCACCGCCTGGTCGACCTCGTGAAAGAGACGCGAGCTATAAGAAAAAGCATGGCCGGCGTCCGAGGGATCGTCAGGAGCGTGTCTGCAGTGTTTGCAAAGAAACGGGCGGAGTAGACTCAACATGCAAAGGTTGTTTTTGCTCATTCTGATGAGATGAAAACGTCAGGGCGAGAATTTCCTGTCAGATGCCTCCTGAGTGAAGTCAAAGGTCAGATACGAGACGGGCTGAGGAGGTTGAGAGAACGATTCTTTGTTGGAAGGTCGACGGTAAAGCTGGTCAGAGAAAAGTTGTTTCAGAATAAAGAGGGGCGGCTGGAGCTGAAGACCTTCAGCTCAGCTAGCAGAGAGGCGATGAATATCTCGGCACTTATCAGACACTGACACGAAGTTTCTTCCTCAGAGGATGAATCCTAATTACACAGGTGGTCCTCTGACTTTTCATTAGCCGCACAGGCAGGATGCTCTTCCATCCGATGAGCTGACGAACTCTTCCAGCACCGAAGAGCGTGAACCCGACTGACTTCAGTCACGTAACCTCCTCTGATTAAATTCTGGTAACCATTCTATCGAACCAATAGTGTTGTAATAGGGCCGACATTATACGCTCCATTCTTTGGTTTGTGACCAAACGTGTAAAAACACTGACTGTAGCATTAGCCTCGTGCGTAGTCTTTAGCATGCTAAGGTAGCAAGCATGCACTACATTTGCATTGTTTCAGAAAATATTTTAAAAGCTCAACAAATTCTCGAGTTCCCCTTGAAACATCTGAAATCATCAGGACTCTGCAGCCTGGTGGGAATGTCGGAAAGTTTTGTGTGTCAGACGGACGTCTTTAATTCATCAGCTACTTACATTTCTGTTGGATTAAAAAACTGGTTTAGATGTGAACTCGCTCACTGACTGACGATCAGCGTTTTTTCTGGCTGTGATTTCAAACAGGTTATCGGGTTCTCCAGACACTAAACTTACACCATCATGGACCTGCAGGAATGCTGGGTTCAGTCTGTTTTTAGCTCCTGGATGAACGAGTGGCCCGCCGTCAGCTGACCCAGCTATCTGGGATATATGAGAACAAAAGAACCTATCTGTACTGTAAAATGAATGTTTCTTTTTGTACATAAATCTATTTATTCATATCAGTGTTGTACAGAAACTTTTTCCCCCTGAAATTCAAACCTGAATAAACAACATGAACCAAAGTCACTGTTCAGTCCTCTGAGGTTTGACGAAGCTTTTATTTGAACTTGTGGCTCAGTCAGAAACACTTTCAGATCATCGTTTACATAAGTGGTTTCATACAGACAAGAGTGACAACCATAAAACCAATGATAACTTCTAAATTATCAAAACTATATTAATTAAAAGAGATTAAATGAGTTTCAGCAAATTTCTGTCCAAATAAAACGGGTCACTTCCTGACAGGTTTGAACGTGAAATATTTCAAAGTGCTCGATATTTTGGACAATTACAACCACCGCTGATCACTTTGACTAGATTCTGCTGCATCTGTCTTTTTTACATAATAAAGTTCAGAACTTGGCGAACATTCGTCTACCCAACAAGTCTTGGTATCAAACCCATCCACACATCTCCAACCAACAACAGAGCCTTCATCACTACTTTGCATCAGTGCTTGATTATCAGGAGCAAAACACAAAATAACATCATAACCAAGCTGCACGTTGACCAAAAAAACAAAACCGCTTTCAGTCACATCTCATCAACTCTGTGACTGGAAAAAGGTTATGAAATGTGGCTAAAGGCTTCTGGCTTCTTCTACAAAGCAAAGCAGATTATGAACAGCATACATTTAACATATTGGAAAGAATTGTGAAATAAATAGAACATTTTCTGCTAAATGTGAAACAGATCTGGGATTATTTGGGACTTTGTGGCTCGACATTAAACCCAATTAAACCTAATGACAGAGTTTTCTCTGGAATTACATTGATGCAGGCTGATACTCTAGATTCATGTGACGGTGTTTTTTGGGAGGCGTCCCACACGAATCGGTCTTGGGCCCTTTTTTATTTCTTCTGTCTTAAAAACCTCCTTTAGGAAACCTCTTGTAGGTTTTGCATGTTGCCGCCTGTCCAAAGCGAGAACGGCGTCAGCGATCAAATGATAATTTGGTGACAGCTTTGCGGCTGAACACGAACGCACAAACCAGCAGCAGCTGAGGCAGGTTCGTCTGATCATCCAGGACTGAGGTGGCCGGCTGTAATCGCTCGGGGGTCGGGGTCAAAGGCCGCGGTCGGTGGGGGATAAGGGTGGGGTCAAACCTCAGCGTGGTGTTTAGGAGTCGGTTGTTTCTGTAGCGTTGGCAGCATTTTCGGAGGAGTTGGGGGTCAGGTACTCGAAGGCCTTCTGGCTCTGGGAGACGAACTGTTTGAGCGGGGCGAGGAGCAGCTCGGCGGCAGATGGCCGTCGAAGGGCGGCGCCTTCGGAAGGGAGGGGCGTGCCCTCCACCTCTGTGGCTTGGGGCTCCTTCAGACTCGAGCGACGACAGCCATTAGTTGGGTCGGGGCTCACAGGACCCCCGGAACCTCGTGCAGCGCGGGAGTACAGGCTCCGGCGGCGGCGAGGACGGCCGTCCATGGCCTTCAGGAAGAGGCTGTTACTGGAGCCGCGACGGGACGAGTTGTCGGATACAAGCTCCTCTTGGTTCAAGAATTCCTCCACCTCCTGAGGAGATGGCTTCTGCAGCTGAAAACAAATGGGGAGTGGAGTTGGAAATCCCGACATGTCTCAGGTGTGTTACAGGTGTGTTGCAGGTGCTTTCTACTCACCATGTTGTAAAGTGGTGTGGTGTTGAACACGAACTGAAGGATGATCTTGGCCACTTCCCTCAGCTCTTGAAGCAGCTCCTGGATTTGGAGGGGTACTCCTCGGACCAGACGAACCACACGCAGCTCTGCCAACATGGTCGCCCGAACTCTGACCGCATTCAGAGAGGCCTCTCTGAGGGCCTCTGCTTGGTACACCAGCGCCACCAGGAGGCCCTGCAGGAATTGCAGCAGGTCACCGGACAACTTGAGGACCCGAAGCAGACCAACCTGCAGGGAACAGGTGCTGTTGTTAGAACATCCATGAATCTTGTGTCTCTTCAGCAGTAAACTTACTCAAATGGTGAATGAACTCGGAAGAATTCGACTTTTTCACTCCTCTAGCTGCTTTGTTCTTCAGCTTCTGTCTTTTCACCTCCTTTAACTTTTCTGTCACATAAACCAGAATTCCTTACAGCTGTTTTACAGTAAACACATACATGTATCTGTTAGTAGCCTAAACATGACCCATCATGGACAGGTGCAATGGACCTATGCATGGCTAACACATTCAACAATTCTGAGACCAGGAGGAGACACAAACCCAACCTCATGGGGTCATAAGCTACTCCCAGTCCCAGTTCCAAGCCTGGATCAATGAGAAGGTGGATCAAACATGCAACACCATCTGGGAACAGATCACAGAACCCGAGGATCTCCAGGATTTAGTTTTTGGTGTTATTATGAAGAAAGTTCGCAAACAGCTTGATTGAGTTCCTTTACCCCGGTGATGAATTCTGATCTGTGTAGTGAAATACTGTGTTACTGTTCAGTGGGGCCTCTCTGCACTTTCCTTAAATCTGTAATAAGTGAGTGCCATACCCGAACTGGGACACTCGTGTCCTTTCGTTGGCATAAACTCTCCGTAAACCTCTCGGAGTTTACGGAGACAGCAAATTTTCTGGGACACAACGGGGGAGAAAAATTGGACCGGCACCAGCTGGAAGCAGAGCGACACGTGAGGACACAGAAAGCAACGCGTGAGGAGGGATTGCTCAGGAACAAAGACGGCAGGAACAGCAGGAATGAGATCAGGGCCCGTCTGTCACACGTCCCCAAATGTAATCAGTGATGCATTTATTTTGTGGAGGAAAAGCACTGAATTAACTACACTCACATGTGAAAGGACTCCAGTTTGTGCTGGTATTTAGAAGAACCACGCCTCCAGCTGAATACTTCTTTTGAAGACTATAAACGAATAAAAAATATCTTGTTTCAGGATCACAGTGACAAAAAGACGCAGGGAAGATAATCTGGTCCATAAGCAACAGCTTCAAACCTGGAATTTGGGCTCTTAGATGATAAAAACATCCATTCATTTATTTCGCCTGCCTGTAAACTCGTGGCAACACTGCATTATGTGGATGAAAGTTCAGTAATAAGAGGAATTATGTTTGTTTGCCTCACTCCAGAAAGGCTCACAGCAACAATCTGCATCACTTACTTAAAAGGAAAAGGATCAAAGTGTAATTATACATCAGGACACTGATTGTTTCCTGTCCGACGTTCACTCCGCACTGTCTAGATTTCCCCCTACCTGCAGTAGCCGCACACACAGACAACCTTCCATCCCATCATCCTTTATGTGAAACATCATTTCCTTTCTCATTTTTCTTACTTCCCTCGCCACCTTCTCTTTTATACTTGCTGCTTTCCTTCTGCGCTCCCTTTTCCTCTTCCTTGCCTCGTCTGCATTTACTTCGTCTCTGCAGGTTAAACACTCAGGGCTCACCGAGAGACAAAACTCTGTCTAATTTAGATTTGGGCCAATGTAATTGCATATAACATACATACAACACAAACTGCAGATAAGTTTGGATGCTGTGTAAAATGTAAACAAAGAATGAATGCAATAATTTGCACATCTCATAAACTCATATTCGAACTGAGATACTTTACTATTTCATGAAAAGTATTTGCAGCAAAAAAGTTGGGAGAAAAGCAAGTGGTGCTAAAAATAAACAGCAGGAGGAACATTTTGGAATTTATGCTTCCAGTCTTTGGTCCTGTTTATTGGAGTGACAGCTGACTGAGCATCAGCCGACCAATCAGAGACAAGCCAGGATGCGTAACGAGATATTTACGCAGAGATTGTTGTTTTTCTCTCCGAATACAAAATGTTCTCAGGTCTGTCCTGGGAAATTTGGGCTTCGGGTATTTGGGTCAAACTGAGACAGCGGGCCGTGACCTTCTGTGCTGCTGACAAACAGCCACTTGAACACGTGAGCGCACAGCGACAGGCTAATGAGGCGGCTGATTGCTGCTGACACAACAACATGTTGACCAGCTCACCTGCAGAGACACGTCCTCATTAGTCTGAATGAAACAGGACGGCTGCGCCCACAGCCGAGCCTCAGAAATGTGACCAGCCTGTGCTTATAAGTCACACTGTGGAGGAGATGAGAGGCTTTTGCAGGGTCACTGCGACGTGCCTTTCACAGCACGGCCAGATACCAGCAAGAAGAAACAAACTGCTCACTGGTGAAGTAAAAACACCACAGAAGCCTTTCATGTTTCACAGGGGAAAGGATAGAGTTCAGTGTTTCCTCACACCAAAGATGCTTTTGATAAAAGACTCATTAAAACTCAAAGAGCTGAAACATTTTAGGGCATCCAACTCGTTTTATCGCTCCTCACTACTTCTACTGCATGCGGGGAATCACGATGCTTCAGTTCAGAAGGCTGCACCAAAACTGTGAAGGCCTTTGCTTTCCCGTGGTGCTGCACGCAGTAATGGTGCTATCAAAGCAGCAACACGTGGAGCTTCAGCAGCAGGTCTAATTCAATCAGTTTGATTTTATAAAACCAAATCACAACAACAGACGCCTCAAGGCGTTTTATACGGTAAGATAGAGACCTACAAAAACACTGGACGCAGTCAGTGTTTGGCTCAGTGATCGGGACGACGTAATGCACAAACACAATCTAGACAAACATTGTCACGTTTCTGCCTTTCATTCAAATAACTTCACAATCCTCTGTGTGCATCTTTACATACACACACGTCGGGTATTCATATCATTTTGGTCCCCACAAAGATTCAATTTATTTTTATTTATACAGCGCCAAATTACAACAAAAGTCACCTCAGGGTGCTTTATAATGTCAGGCAGACCCTACAATACTACATACAGAGACAAACCCAACAATCATATGACCCCCTATGAGCAGCACTTTGCTGACAGTGGGAAGGAAAAACTCCCTTTTAACAGGAAGAAAGAACCAGGCTCAGGGAGGGGCGGGGCCATCTGCTGTGATTGGTTGGGGTGAGAGAAGGAAGACAGGATAAAGACATGCTGTGGAAGAGAGACAGAGATTAATAACAGATATGATTCAGTGCAGAGAGGTCTGTTAATACATAGTGAGTGAAGAAGAAAAACTCAATGCATCATGGGAATCCCCCGGCAGCCTACACCTACTGCAGCACAACTAAGGGAGGATTCAGGGTCACCTGGTCCAGCCCTAACTATATGCTTTAGCAAAAAGGAAAGTTTGAAGCCTGATCTTGAAAGTAGAAGATATGAATATCAAGATGTGTTTTGAGTGCGAATTATCATTTGCATTAAAGATAAAATTGCATTAATGGTTTAGGAATGATCTAAACTCCTGAGTTTAAAGGCACTTAAACAATTGACTGACAGGCAGTTGAAGTGAAGGTGGCCATTATTACCATGAAAAACCAAAATTAAACCAAAATAAGAACAGCAAAAATCCACAATCTGCTTAAAAAGTCTCAAAAAGAAGGACTCCACCAACGGGATCAGCAACACTGAAAGGTCTGAAACACACAGGAGACAAATCGTGGTGCAGACGTCTTTCCTTGTTTAAGAAAACCTCCGCACAACATGTGAGCGAGTGAAGAACGCCGATGATGAGGTCTGAATCAGGACATGAGTGGAAATACAGAGTTTACGATAGACTGCGCTCCACTGAAGAACAAGAAGGACAGACCCGACTTAGGAAAACTTGGATTAGCCAGAAAAAAAGCCGGCACAGAAACCAAGATGAAGTTGGAGCTGAACGATGGGAAAAGCAGAAGCAGAGAAAGAGCTCATGAGCTGAAGCAGACACCAGCAGGGTGATGGCGTGGGCATGCATGGCAGCAGGTGAAAGCGCCTCACAGTTTAGACTGACTAGTATTAAAGTAGTTAAACCAGTCCTTAAAATTAAAGTTAGTCTGTCCAGTTATTGTACATAAAAATGAATGAAAGTCCAGAACAATTCATGACAAATTTGAAACTCCTTGAAGTGACGCTGACAGTCTGCACTTGTGATTTAAACTGTCCTGTAGAGGCAACGCTACAAAAGCTGCTACTGTACAAACACTGGTGTAGTGTAATGAGTGTGTCTCAGTGAGAGCGTAAAGTAACAGGTTGCATCTGTGAAATACAGTTAAAATCACCCACAGATAAACTTCTCAGTGTGCACTTTGAGGGCAGAGGCTGGATATCATGATGTAGATCTGTGTCGCTCTGCATGTCGCTCAGCATGTTTTAAACAAGCTGAGGCCGTGAGTCAGACCACACTCGGCCGTTATCGCCCCATCAGCTCAGACGCTCCACGCGGCACGTAGGCAGCGAGCTCCGCTTAGATTACAGCCGTCTGCTGAGGAAGCACATCCATTTATCTTTAATGGAGCTCATTTTCCCGAAGGCAGGAGACTCCCATCTGTGTGCCATCAATCCATCCCTCGCTATTCAGAGAACACTTGTGTTTTCTTTAACAGCAGGACATCTAAACTGACGCTGATATTTATTTTCTGTTCTCATCCACACCCTAAAAAACATTTACACGTGAGGCCCGGAGGCCAAAGTCAAAGTGACCTCGGAGATGTCTTTATGAGCCGTTTCCTGTTGTCATTACAGCGCCGTGAATACAGGTGTGCCTGCAACACCTGCACCAAGCAGGCTGGAGCTTCCTCCCATTGCTTTCATTCATGTTTTAGTGTCGAGTCACGTTTTCTTTCTTTGGATTCTTCTCGTTTAAAATTCTTCTCAATTTATCTGCTCACATAACAACGCTAATCTGTACTCGATCAAACTGAGTCTGATGTGTGTGTGTGTCCAGTCACGTAGCTGCCGCCAACACACACACACACACTTTGGCGCTCCCAGGTGTAATGAGCACACATGTAGGTGTCTGAGAAACATCCTGCAGCTCTTATCCTGTCTGATGTTTCATATTTCAGTTTGTAGGGCTGTTGTTCAGGTTTTCTATGTGCTCAGTTTTAGGACTTTCTGGACAAACTGGCCAAAATGTTCCAAGATTCTTAAGTTGGAACATTTCTGACTTGTCAGGCGTGCATGAGGTGTTTTTTAATGTCTTACGTCCCATTTTAAGTGCAGTTTCATCCCATAGCTTCTGGGATGGTTTCATTGGTTTGCACAGTCACTTCTGAATCATGTTTCTTCAGGTTTATTAGATATTTTATGTTGAATTGGATAAAAAGAAAAGAAAGACACTTTGAACAGGTTGGACTTTTGTATCGGAAACTTCGCGTGTCGACCTCTGAACCCTCAGACAGACCTGTGTGTTGGGCTAATTTGCTTTCATTTTTAAACTGGTCCTCACAGAGCCAGATAAACGAGACCACTCGTCTTACAGCAGCTGCTTCACGTCTCCTCGTTTGTTTGTTCTGGACGGCAGAAGATTTCTATCATGGTGAAAATGACAGAAACGTTTGTTTTAGGGAAGAGCTTGCTGCCGCCGCCTCTCAGCGATAAACGCTGGTCCCAGTCTGAGAGTCATAAAAGCTGCTGGGAGGAGAAACGTGGGGGTTTTAGGATAAACTGAGGAGGACGAGTCAAAGGTGAACGCTACTAAAAATAACACAGAAAACTAAAAGCTTTAACCTCCTAGGACCTGGCGTCCAAATATGTTGACATCACATTTTGGGTTATTTAGACCAAAATACTCAATTTTGCTCTACAAGGGCCTGATACCCACTTACGAGGACATTATATGCTACTCTTCTATCAAAATTTAAAACGAATATCCTCATATATGGCTCTTATTTTTGTTAGAAACAAAAATTAGGCAAAAAAAAAATCTGCTAATTCTTTGTTTTTACATTCATCAGGACCCAATCAGCCCAAATATCAAAGAGAAATTAAAAATGCTGCTGTGGAAGAGTTCGGGTCTTAGGAGGCTAAATAACTGAAACTAACATTAACAACAAAACGAGAACACACTGGACTCAAATTATCTCAGGACACAGAAACGTGCAGTTTAGTTTGGCCCACGTGGACATATTTCCTCATGTGCTCGTCATAATTATGAGGACTTTTGTTTGTATTTTTAAAGTGTGACTGTCACAGTCAGTTCCTCACATTCAAACATAAAGACAGGTTTAAAGTAAAAACCTGGAAAGTGTGACTGACAGATACTTATCATCATCATCATTAGAAAAGGTTTAAACGTTTTAATTCCTCTGGTGACATCAGCCCCAGGGTCCTGAAGTCCTGTTTTTTGACCTTGTGATGTGTTTTTTCATCATCGCCTTCGTGGTGTTTTAAATCGATGGGACCATCAAACTTCGAGGTTGTTGGCTGTTGTTGTTGTTCGATAATCCTCCTTTGTGAGTCTTAAAATACGCAATGTTTACAAAACTGTCTAAAACTTTTATTCAGTATCATGTGAAACACGCGACCGAGCCCAGAGAAGCTAGGAGATCATAGATATCGCCCCCTGCTGGTCATAAGTCAGAAGACAGGACCTGGAAGCTACGTCCAAGTTGTTATACTTTTATCCCAACTCTTGAGGCGATCGTGGCTCAATCAAGAGTTGGGAGTTCGTCTTGTAATCGGAAGGTTGCCGGTTCGAGCCCCGGCTTGGACAGTCTCGGTCGTTGTGTCCTTGGGCAAGACACTTCACCCGTCGCCTACTGGTGGTGGCCAGAGGGGCCGATGGCGCGATATGGCAGCCTCACTTCTGTCAGTGCGCCCCAGGGCAGCTGTGCCTCCACCAGTGTGTGAATGTGAGAGTGAATGAATAGTGGTGTTGTAAAGCGCTTTGGGGTCCTTAGGGACTAGTAAGGCGCTATACAAATACAGGCCATTTATCATTTATCTGCAGCCCAAACTCAGCTGGGGGATTGATTTTATCAATCAAATTACTGGATATGATTCAGATTAGATGGAATGAATCCTGCACTATAAGGTCCAGATGTGCCCCAGCTGGGCAGTGTAGTAGTGTGCCCATAGAAGCCCCTTTCTGAGGCCCCAAAGGACAAAGTTGCGGTGAGCACAGCCACTCAGGTCAGTGTGGGATAAGTGTGGGTTTTTTCTGCCCACACAGGCCCACAGTTCACCCACAGCTACCAAAGTGGGTCCACACGAGGATGTCTGCTGGGTATGTGAAAGAATTTCTAAGAACTCACGCTCTCTGGACTTCCCATTTCGTTGGGGGAACTGTTGAGATCCTCCAACATGTTTAGATGTAGTTTAGTTTAGATTTGGTTCCTCTTTTAGGTTTATGTGGATTAGATCCCAGGTCTTCCGGACCTTAAAATGAATCTCGTTTCTTCTCTCACTGGCATTCAGGTCGCCTAAACAAACCCCACAACTCTGTCGTGTTTCCTTTCACGTTAAACATCACACACCGAGTTCTGCGGGAGTTTGGTTTGCTCTCACCTTGTCGGCAGCGTCTCCCATCGCCCTGACGGCTCTCTGCAGCTGCTCTCTGATCTTCATCAGGCGGTGATAAAGCTGCAGGCTGAGAGTCAGCAGGAGGCTGCGGACCCTCGTCCACATACTGGGCTCATCGCCATCGTCTTCACTCTCGTACTGCTGCACCCTCAGCTCCCATTCCTGACCTGATGGACGGCAGAGACGTTCAGAGGCAGAAGGCTTTGCATTCATAAAGATAGGTTACAGCAAGCAGCCATCAAAAGTAACGTTTGTAGAACTCGTGCTGAACTGGAGTCTGGGCAGAACGTGCATTTCACATGACATTAAAGCATGTTCAGAAACTTCATGTCTGGTCTCATTTCCTGGTGTGGCCCTTGCATTTGACGCCCCTGACCTACAATAAGAAGATTTTAAAAACGCTTTCGGTGACACAGCTCAAATGTCCTCGCTGTTTTAAAATTCCAACCAGGCCTCACATAGATATAAAGACAAACGGTAAACACACTCAGTCTAGAAATTTCCTCAGAGTTTCACATGAAGTGAGGTTTTGATCCTGTCACCTTCAGTGTTATTGGCGTCAACATGTGACACCGAGGACTCTGCTCTCTGATTGGTTCGTTGGCTATTATCAGCATAAAGAGCTGAAGTCGCCAGCAGCAGTTTGGGGAGTCAGCAGAGCTTCGGCTCCCTCTGCTGGTTGAATTCTGCAGAAAAATATCCCACACGCACACACAGGCTGTATCCCAATTCAGGGTCTGCAGCCTCAACGATCCTCAAGGGCCGCGTGCTCAAAGACCGCTGAGGCCGGAAGTGCGAGGCTTGTGAAATGGGGCGGTCTAGCCTCCGTTGCGCTGCCCAGGTTGCCTAGCAACCATGATACTAACAGCTGGAAACGTGTCATACAGCTGTGTTTGACAGAAATGAAGGAGAAAATCTTTTGTTCATGTGTTTGTTTCTACATGAGCTTTGATCATTCTCTGTCAGATTAAGCTCAGCTATTGAACGGCGCATATTTTAAGGCTTTAAAACCAAGTTAGTACAAACGTCACTAACGTCACATAACTTTGCCGACATGTGGCCAACAGTCATGTTTTAATGTTCTTCGTTATTAAACATTTGCACATAAATAAGTGACATCATATTCAGTACTTACTTTTCACAGTTTACTCTTCGGCCGCTCCGCTCCTGCCGTCTGCGGCAGAATTCTCCACACCGACTGCCGCGCTATGAATTGTGGGATATATGGGACCACGAAGTCTACACTGCCACAGCCTTAAAATTCAGGGAAATGGAGGACGCATTTGAGGGCCGCATTTCGAGCAGCCTTTGAATTGGGACAGCCTTCGGCGCGCCGCTGTGACGTAATCGGCCTTGAAATGCGGCCTTTAAGGCTGCAGACCCTGAATTGGGACACAGCCACAGTGTCAAGTACTCCTATCTTGTGCAGACATCTAATCGACATAACGCTTTCCCAGCCCCTGACCTTAACCATGACCCTGACTCTAAAACCATATTTTGAGTCTCAAAAATGCCTTCAAACTTGTGGGGATTTTGCCCCACAAAGATATGTACTCACACTCACACACACGTTTTCCACAGAAAAAAGTTGATTCTCGATAATCTCGTCTGAAATATGAGCTGCAGGGATGCATTTCTGTGTGATAACACGATAACTACAGGTGAGGCAACATTAACTTAAATCTCTCAGACTTACAGAAAAATAGCTGTTTTGCCAAAGAGCACTACAACCCTCCTCATACTCACGCAGTGTGGGTGGGAGGGGCAGGTAGTAGGCGGTGGCGTCCTCCACGCGACTCAGCACGTCATCGAGTCCCGACATGGCGGCCTGGCCCACCTGAGTGTTCTTCAGCTGCTGCACAGCCACCCGGCCTACGTCGGCCAGACGCTCCACCTGATCCAGAGCTGCGTCCAGGCCGTCCACCACCCACAGCTGCACGTCATCCAGGGTCAGGAAGAAGGCGTCCTTCAGGTGAGTCATAACCTGATCAGAGGCAGGCATTTACAGCGATTTAAAGTCCCTGTAACATCAGGCAGCAGCCTTCCCTGACATTGTAAACGGTTTTTAAGAGTCGTCTTTGCACATTAAGCCTTTAACAGGCTCAGAGACACTGCAAATGTTGGAGGAGATCAAACTGATACGAACCACCTGGGGGCAGCTGAAGCACGTGAGACACTTTACAATTATCTACAGTCCTGTTTGGGCCTGCCTGATGAATCTCTTTGAGCTCCAGGTTTGGTTTCCACCACCTCCTCAGAGCAGCTCTCTGTGTGTCGGCTGCTGAGCAGGAAGTGCCCAGAGGCTTTCTCCAGGTGATTTCTGCCCCCAGGTGTCCTGTTCTAGACAAACACCTGAAACTACAACTGAATCCTTTGAGTGATGTCTGAAGGACTTTAAGCTGGATGGAAAAACTACATTTATTACTTTAATTTTACATAAAGGTGACGATTTTAAATGATCCGTGTATAGCCTTTTAAAACAATGCTGAGCCTTTCTTCCGTTGGATCCTGTTGTTTCGACAGCCTGGCTGCTCGCTCGTACTCTAGTGCAGAAATTTACCGTTACCTTAACTGGCAGCGGTGCAAAGAAAAGTTTGTGACATGACCACAACAGAAACATCACATCTGTAGCAGGTACTGACCTCGTCTGTTGACTGGTTCAGGATCGGATAGGTTTTCTCCAGGTGATCAAGACCAACGAGCGCAAAACTGTTGGCAGCATCGACTGTGGAGAACAAGACAAACACGATTCAGAGGCAGCGAAACTGTGATCAGGTGAGATGAAGCTAACGGTGCCAGCAGTGCTGTCACGTACTCTGTGGCTCCAAACTCTGCAGGAGGGGCGTGGCTCGTCTCATGGCCTCTTGGGAAAAGCTGCGAACTCCGACCTCGGCCATTCCTCCCATCAGACCCAGCAGACGGTTGCGAGCTTTGACCCCCGAGTACATCGAAGTCACCATCTGTAACGCTGAGCGAACCAGAGGCAGATGGGAAGCTCTCAGGACGGCATTGGTCTGAAACACGAGGAGGAAAACCGTTACACCTCATCAGAACTACAATGGGGTTTTTTAAAGCTGGAACTGGGAATACTGGAATATTTGGGCATTCGAGCTAAAGCTCCCTCAGGTTATGCAGCAGGACAATGATCCGAGCCCACCTCCACCTCACAAATACTTTTTCACATACTTATATATCGATACAAACACAGATCACGTTGTTCTTTTATTCCCATTCATTCTGTATTTCATCATTTGTTGCTCATGCTTCCACAGATCGAATCCCTTCCTCCTCTTCTGTGGAGGAGCTGGAGAAACGTTTGGGCGAAGCCTAAGTATGTTCGCTCTTAGCTCACCTCATGATCTGGATGAGATGACATTTCTCTTTCGCCAAATCTGAGAAAAAACAAACAGAGGTCACAGATCAGACTCGCCTCCACGACCTTCACATCAGCATGAGGCAGTCAGCTGCCGAGCCTCCACAAAGCTCACGACTGTTCGACCAAAGCCAGCATGAAAATCGTCTTTTCTCCGCTCCAGCCGCCGAGCACACAGCGGCTCAGACGCAGCACAAAAGCCTTTCTTTAAAACGAGAGCGCAGAGAAACGGCGTGAAGACTTTACAGGGAGAAAATGATCTTGAGTTTGCATCATCTGAGTTTCAGCTTTACAAGTCGTCTCTGTGGAAAATGGAAAGCACCTTCAATAAGTCACCTAAAAGCATCACGAGGAAAACTATTGCACCAAGATCAACGTTCTGTATTTCAGACACTTAATCAGTATTTTGCAGTTTTCTGCATGAAGGAACTTTTTTTTGACTTTTTCTTTATTTGTTTGTTGTTTTTGATTTTCAGCAACGTCTATTTAAACTACTCAACATGGATGAAGTGGAAATAATCCCACAATTCAGACTGGGATCATTTGAAATCATCCATCCATATTCTGCCGAACTCTCTTCCAAGGAAACTCATTTGTATCCATGACCTCATCCTTTGGTCGCTACCCAGAGCTTGTGACCATCGGTGAGGGTGGGGATGTAGACTGAGCAGTAAATTGGCAGCTTCGCAACGTTAAAGTTAAGCAGTGACCACAGGTATTAGTTGGGTTACATGCATAGCTGGACTGGCTGGATGAATGAGTTGAAGGGAAGTTATGAGCTGTTTCTGAGAGACAAATAACACCAGGATCCTTTTTTAGGTAGCTGACAGCTGGTAACTGTGCAGGGGCGGGTCTAGCAAAGTGTTGCCAGGGGGGCAGGTAGGGCATTAACAGGGAGAGGGGGGCACAAAGAAATACTTTTCTTTCTTATTCTCATTTAAAATGTCTCGCTTTAATAAATAATTATCTGAATCTTACAACAAACATTTTCATCTGATGTAAAATGTATAGAAATCCATTATTGTACATAGTAATTTTTTTAGGGTCCCATCATAATTTCTTCAGAAGTAGCAAAGGTAGTTACTGTTATCTGCAATAAACTTTGAATGAAGAAGTTTGTTGTCCTCCGCACCGCTCAGGTTACGCTGGGCAATAAGATTCTTACTTCACTACAAAGAAATAAGTAAAATAGAATAATTAAATTAAAGAAAAGAAATGAACAATACGCAGAAAATAAATAAATTAAAGGATTTACAGCGTACAGAAGTGTAGAGCGGGGTCACAACATAAACTTGGTTCTTATGCAACGGTAAAACATCCAGAACACACGAGTGTTATTACACAAAAATGTGTTACTGTATAGGCAAAGAAAAGTGGCTGAATATTACACACACACACACACACACACACACACACACACACACACACACACACACACACACAGTGACGTAATGCTTTCCCCAAACATAACCTAATTGTAACTCTGACACTAAAACCACATTTTGAGTGTAAAAATGCCGTCCAGGATTCTGGTCCCCTCAAGTCAATTATTAGTTTTTGGTCCCCACAAAGATATGAATACATGCTCAAACACAATAAAAATTTTATTTCCAAATGATTTAAAAAATTGTCATTTTGTTAACATGAAACATTTTCTTTAACCATGCACTTACTTTTTCTCTAAACACTACTAATACTACTAATTTGCCAGGGAGCAAACCACCAACCGTCTGACAGGTGGAAAGTAACCCAGTCAGTTTTGAAGATTAACAAAGGCTAACACTGAGCAGTGCTGGTTTTCTAACACTGGAATATTTCTAACATTTTGAGTTATTTTCCAGTGTTAGAAAATCAGCACTGCTCAGTGTTAGCCTTTGTTAATCTTCAAAACTGACTAGGTTACTTTTAAACATATAACACTGTCAAAAGTGTTAATTTAACACTCAACAGTGTTGTATTTAACACTCAGAGGAGTGGACCCATATAGACACTCTCCAGTGTTAATTTAACACTGGAGATTTTGCTGTGTGTGAGAACAGAACAGGTAATAAATGGAGAATTCAAAGCCAACACATAAAAAACAGCATTTAAAGCTGCTGTTTCCCACAGATGAGAAAGGAAACTTCACACAGAGTCCTGAGCTGATCGTCCCAAACTCAGGAAGAGCTTCTGGTGCCTGCAAGCATCAGGTTTTACAAGGCGCCAGAGTTTCTGTTTTAACTCTAACACAGACACACAGGAGAGTCTTACCCCATTAGAGGACTGTTGATGAAGCAGCTGAGCAGAGTCACGATGACAAAAATCATGAAGACACTCTGACTTTATAATCTGTAGATAAAGAGTGCTCCTGGGATTTGAGGTTAATAAACAGCGACCAGATTGGCTGGAGCGTGGTGTGATGTCACTGAGGTTTTAGACTTTAATGGGGAAATTGAATGATTGCCCTGCTGTACATGTCTCTGACTAATCAATTACCTCTGAATCAAAAGGGTCATTCAGGGGGAAAGTACAGGAAACTGAGAGCCGAGGGAAACGCAACACAAAATATAAATACTGTAAATCCAGCTGATAGTCACAACGCTCCACCGGAAAATATCAGCAGAAATATCCATAAGCTGACGAAACTATAAACCAACAGCTGATCGAAGCCTTTCAAACAGACGTAAAGTTAAAGACATTAAACTCTTTCTGCAGCGCCCTCTGGTGTGTGGTCTGTGTTTAGACTTCCTCTAAAACTAAGGCCTTTTTTAAAACATCTAAAATGCAAAATGTTAGTGGAGGACGGGCAGAGCGGCGCTTGCACAGCCACGTCTGCGTTCTGATGTACTGGAGCCACGAGCTGAACGCAGAGGAGAGAAGTATTGATCTGATCAGGCTAGGATCGATCCGATACTGTCCAGGTTAGCTGTGTTGCAGGCAGGATGAGGACTCGAACAAAAGCTTGAACAGTAAGAGGCCGCTTTATTGGCTGTGGCAAAAACTCTAAAATTACAAACAGGGAAAACACAAAACTTTCAAGTGGAACCGCAGAACTCAAAATGAACAATAAGGCGATGACACACAGCCCTGAGAGGCAACAACGGACAGAGGAAAACACAAGGCTGAAATACACAAGGAAGTAATGAGGGAACGAGACACAGGAGCGGGCTTACAGGTGGGGGTGTGGCCACTTTGAAACAGGAAGCTGTAACTGATCAGGCTTACAGGTGGGGGTGTGGCCACTTTGAAACAGGAAGCTGTAACTGATCAGGCTTACAGGTGTGGGTGTGGCCACTTTGAAACAGGAAGCTGTAACTGATCAGGTTTACAGGTGGGGGTGTGGCCACTTTGAAACAGGAAGCTGTAACTGATCAGGCTTGCAGGTGGGGGTGTGGCCACTTTGAAACAGGAAGCTGCAAGGTAAGGAGTGACTGACTGGCTTCTTCTTGACTGATTTAAAAAAAATGATATTATCAAATCAGTACTAGGCTTGTTGGTCCCGCTGGTTACCGAAGCTTGTTATGAATCCTGGAGTGTTTCACCATGGCCAGCTTGGTGTTTTGAATCTGCCTTCATCAGCTAATGTCTCCCAGTGTTTTGCTCAGGTTTGGTGTTCACGCATCGATCGTGACCGTGTTCCTGTAACTGTGAGGCGTACGTGACACAACCGATATTTCTGTCACTTGATACATAGCAGTGATATTTTGTAATCTACCCTACAAATTGTTGTAGCTGCATGACTCAATTCAGGAACTTCAAATAAGATACAAGTCTGAAAACATAAAAACAAGAATACACTGGCTCACTGTTAATGTAAAATGTAAAAGTAATGAGGTCATGCTTCAACACGATCAGCAAACATCAGCAGCAGCCTGCCGGAGACTCTACAAAACCACAGAAAGAATATTATGTAAAAGCTTTTCACTTTTTTTTTTTGTTAGCAGGTTAATCGTTTATATCTGCGTCATTACAGGCGTTTCGCTCTCCGTGGACCACGTCAGTGTCTTCTTGGGTAAATGCAGTCAGAGTATGCTCAGAGAGAGGCGGGATGAAGGAACCAGTGTCAGAGTTTCTGAGAAACGTTCATGTGACAGGGATCATCAAAGGTCAGATGACACTGGCTCTGGTGATTTCTAAGAAAGACATCTTCTCAATCTTTAAATGATGTGAAAATCTGGTGACATGCTGCATTTTTCTCTTATTAAAACGTCCGGTGCACACTTACTGATACAGCTCCTCACTTTAATAAAACTCCTTCAAATAAAGTTAATGGTTAAAATGGCTTACACACTACTAATATCAAAACTGCGTCATTCACAGTGAAAAAATGTATTTAAACTTATTAGAGGCATAGAGTGATGTCATTGTGACAATCCAATTAAATCTGGCTTCCATCCAATGAGGTCGACACATCAAAGACTGACAAAAAACCCTGTAACTTAGAAACTATGACCCTTACAAGTGAGGTGTGTACTGCCAGCATATAGAAAGTACCACGTAAAGATTTAGATATGCTAGAATGATCTGCAGGTTGACGTGATAACAGAGGTGTGGACTCGAGTCACATGACTTGGACTC